GCGCGGATATATGACGTCAGGATGGCGCAATTTGTTCTAAAAATAGAAAAATTGTCTCATATCATAGGTACACGCGAATCCCGAGACTTACGGTCTCCGTTCCCGATTATGGCTCCTGATGTCAATTAATCTACTTAAAATCGAAAGACTCGAATCACAGTGATACTGATGTCACTTCAAACACGGACTCTCTGATATTAGTTAAATAAATAAAATAAATGAATTAAAACTGATTTAGAGACAAATCCACATCAACCTTGGCTCGTTTTCACTCGGGTCCTCTATCCGGGTTATAATTTAGAGTGTTGGTGTTTGTAGAGCCGAATCAATTCATTAATGCAACGTTGAGGGGTACGCTTCACGTACTTTTTTCCCGCTGTAACTGCTTTCATGGACATTCAAAACAAATAATACGAAACACGTTATTTAACACAAACAGGAGATATATCAAGAGTTTTACATGACGCCTCTGTGGCTCGAGACACACGCCTCTCTCATCGATGCCCATCATAACACCTCGCCTGACCAGATAACATTCAACGCAAGCTTGACAAAAGACGCGGCTATTTTAAAAGTTCCCTTGGTGGAAGCTGGTGTCTTGCTAGATGCAACTCCGCTGACCGTTAAAATAACAGTAGCCAATGACGTCAGCATTGGGCAAACACTTGACAGCGATATCAGATATGGTGTGTCGGACGGAATCAACTTCATTGGATTTGAAGCACCAGACAGAGGAAATTATGACAAAAGCTACCCCTGCTATGGAATTGAAGGCACGCCTGGAGAAACTCTGACAAACAAGACAAGTTTTAATAAGACAACTCCTGATCAAGTTGCAAGCTTTTACCCTGATCAGTTTGTCTTCACTCTCAAGCTGGGCAAGCCATGGGGCTCGTGTTTCACTACACATGGCGGAGGCTTCCTGAAGACAGCAGAGTTCACGAAACAATTGATGGTTAGCCATAATCTCACTCTGGATGTTTATAAAAGCAGTCATGGAGAAAGAGTTGGCATCAAGTCTATTGAGGTCACCATTAGAAAAACTGGCGACTACTAATCAGCTAATTACAATGAGGAATGTTGTAAAAATTAGTCAGTTTCTTTTACCTTCATATTTAAAGACCTTTAAAGTAAATTCTCGAACGATGTCTGCAATATTTACATCTACGTCTACATTTAATAACTGATAACGCTTTCGCATACAATCAGTATAAAGTAATATATAAATTAATTAATTAATTAATTACTTGTAAAACGCTATATCTCTTAATGTTTCTTAATGTTCTTGGAAAGAAGCTATAAAAATGACAATCATGATCGCAACTTGGTGCTATAGAGGACAATTTAGAAAAAGATCCAGAAAAATAATCTAAAAGTAATCGGGTATTGGCAGTGCCATTGAGTTGTTATAACCGCTTAATGAAATACATTCAGTCTATGATTTCTCCGTCTCACGATTAAAGGATCTAGATTTAATGACTCTAACGTCTTTGCAACAGAGTTTCTACTGTAGTCTAATTTGATGAATCTAGCTGCACGTCGCTAAACTGCTTCAATTGCATCAATCTGATCTTGCCGGTAGGGATCCCACACAGCGGTAGCGTACTCCAGATTCGGTCTGACGATGGTACCATATTCAGAACGCTTTGTACTCTCACAACAAGGATATATATAGGTTACGTTTAACAAAGCCAACTGACTTCTTTTAGGTGTTTATTTAAGTTGCTTTGTATTAGTTCCCATTGGGATAATCAGACCTTTGTATACCAATCCTTGTGAATATCACACCACTTGACGCCGACTAGTTTACTTGAGGCTGTTTTTTCCTGTTGTTAATATCGTTGTTTAAAATAGCGGGTGACATTTTCTGATATTCTCTGGCTTGTAACCTGTATTCAGCGCGTCTCAGATTCTTGTAAATAAACTTGATTATTGCTGGCGGCTCTCTCCACTATTTGTTGTATTATTTGTCTCCTCTACTTATAATAGAGATGTTTTCTATTCGGCTGAGTGAAGCGAAATAGATTAGAATTTTTAGCCTTATTTACAATATTACTAACATGAGAGTTCCATTTTAAATCACTAGTTAACATAATTCCCAGCTAGGGATGCCTCGTCACCGGGGACATCTTTTGACCATCAATAAACTAAACTGTCAAAAATATTCCTTTTTCCGTGATAACCTTACTTTGTGACATTTGATCACATTAAACTGCATTTGCCATGTCTTGGCCCAAGATGATAACTTCTCGATTTTATTTTTTAAAATAGCACAGTCGTTCATTGAATCAATTGTTCGATATAGCAAGGCATCGTCTGCAAATAATCTCAGACTGCTGTCTTTGTTCTCATGAATGTTATTTATAAACAGCAGGAACATGGGTGGTCCCAAGAAGGCGCCCTGTGGCACGCTTAAGGTCACTTTTACAAAGCTTGAGGCTTTACCATCCACCACAACACACTGAGATCGATTTGTAAGCCAGGAATTAATCCATGAGAGTGTCTTTCCTTGTATTCCATAATAATGTGGTTTGGAGAGTAATCGCTGATGAGGCACGACTAATCTAACTGATTTGTGCTGTGGCACTTTTAACGCTAAAGGCATTAGAAGTTCTCATGCATTACCAACGGAACCGAACATGATCACATTTTTCATGACCCTAGTGATTATGTCATGTTTTCAAATAAAATTTGTACAACGTTCTTAAGGTCTCCAGCATAAGCTGTAGATACTGTTTAAGGTGCTTTCGAGCCCTTCAGCCGATATTTGTTACGTCATGGACCGAGATGGATTTGTTCAAGTCAGATATTCACGATGCACCCCTTCCCTTTCTCCTTACCACCATCCCCCCTCCCCACAATTAGCCGTATGTACTCATCGATCCTGGATAACACCATCAACTTCATTTTGGGTTTTCAATAACATGCAATATGATAACTGTTACTTCTAACCTTCGCGAACACTCACCTAAGCAGACAACTTTCTGAGGTGAGGTATGGTTGCCTCGCACTAAGTAAACCGACTCATTATGGGCTTAAGGACGGCGGCCTTTGTTTTTGGCACCCAAGCAACTGCATGTTTGTGACTGATGCACAAAGCCTTTCTCAAACTCATTAATAATCCATCAGGTTAAAACAAAGAAAATCCCAACCGTGAAGGACGTTTGGATGCCCGGTCTTAATTAGCATAGATTTTGAATATTTTACTCTCTCCGATAACTCCTTAGTTTTTGTTTGGATTGAGAAGATATATCAAACACTCGAGACAGTGTTTCATCGGTTATCCAAACACCTCGAATTTTGTCAAAAATACTCCGCTACGCGTCATGTTTTCAACTCTCTTCTCGGTGTTTAGATATCCCGATGAAACGCTGTCTCCTGTTAAATATATTACATCAAAATCTCGTACCCATGCTAGACAAGCGCCCGGTCAAAGATTGTAAAAACCTGAGCTGATCTAATTGTGAGTCTCGGAGTGGCCTTTGAATAAGTGAGTGTCTGGTGAATTTTATAGCTGCGGAAGCATGACGACAAAATAAACCTTTGGGTTCTTTTTCTCCACTCCGCAGAAACTGAAACATGAAGTAGACCAGTGATCCCGCAACGTGGTTAGCTAAGTTTCTGTTCGTGTTCGTTTCGCTACGTGGTGTCAATGGACTGTCAATCACAATTCAAAGTAATTTAAGCTAGTTGAGGTCATCATCAAGTGCAATGAGGCAGGTGATGATTTTTAGTTGTCTAAGTCGTCTAAAATCGCCTAAAATTGTCACAATTTCCCTGCCAAAAATGACCATAAATCGAAATAACAGCGATAATTTGGTCCCAGAGGATAGGCCTAAACTTCGTACAAACACATCGACAAACCTACAATTCCCTCAGTACCACACAAGCTAAGGGGAAAAGGCAGTTGCTGACTCTCCCAACACTGAATCAACTCTATGGCCTTCAATGCACATCTAGGGATTTAGATTCTTTTAAATTTATTCAGTTTCGCTGTATGTCAAAATGGTTTGTTTGTGGTTAATGCAATGGGGGCCCTTCTGCAAATCTCCTGGCGGTAACGTGTAGAGTTTTGAGGTAACTGTGGACCTTGTAAGAATCATTTGTGCGTATAAGATAAAGTGTACAATATAAATTCAGAAAAAAATATTTTGAAGGTTGATTTAACAGGTATTTCCGGCAAGCCTTCAAACACAAAACCGACAATGTTTCCTAGATTGAATTAATTACCTGCCTTCGTGTTCGTATGCACGAGCAAACAAACTGCACCAAGTTGATTAGTAGCTGACGGACTACGTAAGTCTGTGAAGCTCTTTCGATATTCTTATTGGTTGCTGAAAGATATATTTTGAACTTGGCAATCGAATATTTGTCACCTGGGAAAGCGTAAGAGGACAGTTAGTTGTATCAAAGGGGCAGCCACAAACTTTGGCGTATATCCAATGAACAATTCGTTAAATCCACATCAGTCTACAAACCGAAAAGAAAAGGAAACGCTAGGAAGCAAGGGGCAGCAAGCAAACTAAGGGGGTAAGACCGTCAGCGAAATTCACAGCCAAAATCAGTCATAAGTTTGATTCACTCGGATAAGCTATTACTGAAATATGTACGGTACTGTCAACATCTTTTGGAGGTTGGGGCAGGGCGATACACAAACATTTGAGTCGACCACTAACGGCAAGTTCCTTCTTCTTGCTTTCATCCAAGGATGGAAATATCCACCGCGAAATATCCACAGGGCGCCTCCCCCTACGCAGACGCTCTGGGAGGAAGATTGCGTAGCGAGCCCAAAAAGACTAATTCACAGGGAGCCCCACGTTTAACTACAGTCGACTCCCGTTAACTCGAACCTTCGCTCACTCGAACCAAAATCGATTTCCCCTGGATTTCTGTCATACATTACTGTAATTTTACTCTCGATAACTCGAACCTCCCGCTAACTGGAAGCAATTTTCGTTTCCCTTCAGGTCATTTTCCATATAATTTTACCCTTGATAACTCAAACCATGTCTGTCAATAGGTGACAAGTCAAAACAAACACTGTAAAGTAGTCCAAAACATTAAATTTATTTTGAAGCAGCCGCGTGAAAAACGTGTCAGTTCAGTTTATACGTAATTAAAAAATGCATTGTGTCTATTTTCATCCGGCTTCCCTATACTGTATATAATTAAATAATAGTATAATTACAGTATTACTTATGGTCATCCAAGATTAACCAACTGCACTGTCTTTGACAACAACAGCTACTAATAGAGCTAATATGATTCAACCTTGCAGGAATCTAAAAACACTGTACTACTAATAGAGCTAATTTGATTCAATCTTGTAGGATTCTAACTACAGTGCGCAGGCAGACCATCAGCTGGGCCAAACAAGGAAAAGGTCTGCACCAAAAACACTTGCACAAGCCCAGCTCGAAGTAAGATACAACCATACAATGTATATTTTCAAACTGAATGAATCATTGGGCTGTATTATTATTACTGTCTGCAAATTAACAAAAAAAGCCGAAACAAACAAATGGAACTGAAGTGACATATTAGATATGCTAGGTAACAAAATAGCAACATGTACAAAGTTCACAATTTTATATACACTGCAATTA